TCTCCCCCCACCTAATTCTCTCCTCAACATTTTAACCACTTACCTACCACAATGTGTCTATAGATGGCTGTGGGCTCCACACCGGAGCATGAAGCCAATAAAGCATCAAAGAAGAAGAAGAAGTAAATGGAGGCTATTTTAGACATAGAAAATTCAGTTTTTTCGGTTTTTTAAAGTTTAGAGCTGTTTTTCATGTTGACAGTTTCAGCTGAGAATATCTTTAACCATCGATTTCTAACGGCTTTTTTGAATCTACAATCGTTTTTGTTGTATAGTCAACCGTTCTACAGTTACAGGTGAAAACTTGCAAAAAAAAAAAAAAAAAAAATCCCAAAAATCGTTAAAAATGTACAGAATGATTCTTTTAAAATAGGTAGGTTAAAACAATTTTCACCTGTTCCATTGAAAAGTACGCCAAAAATTACAGATAAGCACCTCCCGCATTGATGAAGCACAGCTTTTTTCCACTCGTTATAACATAAAAACCATTTTTCAGCCGAAAATTGAGTCTGCCATTTTGACCGGAAAAAGTTGCACTGTCACAAAAACATTTTGAGCCAGAATGCACCCACCATAGGGTACTTCAAAAGTGGGTTCAGATGATGTTTTGAAAAGGGAACACACTCAGCCCTTATCGATACCCCTTCTTTGAATGCTAATATCAACTTACACTTTCGGTTCAATCTGTGAAGAGTGTGAACGACTTTTTCCACATACCTACTGGGTAAAGGTGGCTTTGGAGGAGCAACATTAAGATTTTTGATATCAATTGATTCGACGCTGCAGTTAAGATGTTTCCTCTGCGCTGATTCAGATGTTTCTTCAAGTATTTTACGTTCACGCGGAGTCAAAGGGATATCAGGCAAGGAAATACGAGTCACGGGCTCTGGGGTTGGAAATAAAGAATTGAAGTCGGCTCCACCACTGCTGCTACTACTAGTTTTACTGCATCGATCAACTATTTTATCACTTGCCAAAGAGACCAAATTCTGCTCAGAAATAAAAAAAATAAAAAGATAAAAATAAACCTAGAAAATATTGGAACATCATTTTAAGAAAATAGAAAATTCCTGATATTATTCACATTCATTTGGCAATGGGAGAACAATTTGCTTGCATTGAGAGGCGGAGTTGTCAGAATTTTGCTTTCTTGAAACTCTTGAAGTGATAACTGTTCAACAACAACAAAAAAATTAGCTTCCAGCCAATTTATGCGGGGCGCAAGCGTCGCGTACGGGGGCTTAGCGCCGGCATGTGGGGGGGGGCGAAGCTCCCCCATCATGGTGCGAGAATCGCACAACACTTTCTCGCTTTTGCCGGCGCAGAGCACCGGCATGGGCACTTTTACTAGAATATTTAGAATAATACTGCCAGTTTCACAAAATCATAAAGTTTGATTGGAATTTTGATCGCAGGATAATAGTTATGAAATTTTTATTCAAACCACTGAACTTTATTGTAAATGTCTTCGTGATATGTGATGAATTCATATATTTGGACTCGACTTGTCGATATTATGAGGCATCTTCAATTAAATATGTAATTGATTGATGATGCCTCCTATTAAAGATCCGAAAAAATCTTAGCTTTTCTACGATTCATTATGTTCCATTAGATTCATTGACATCATACTTCAGATACGATTATATATTATAATTTTTCCTTAAGCACGGTCAAAAGCCATCAAAAATCTACTTTCATGGGTGGAATGACTATACGATGTTTAAATAGTCTTAAAACTGAACGGTTTTCGCTTAGCATCGTCCAAATTTTAAATTTGGCGGTCAAAATCTCTCCGCAGATAGTTCACCACCCGCCCGCCCAGAGCGCCACCTCCTAAGCTCGTGTTCCCTCCCCGTGTCTTGAAGTCGAAACATCAACAACACAAACAGCCCGTGATGAACCTCAGTGCAATGATATGTAAACAAATCCGCATTGTGTAATCATTAATCATTAAATCAATCATGTTTGTGCCGTATTATTAAGTTATATTTGTGTTCAGTGCCTCGTAAAAAGGAACCGCTAAAGATGGAATCTGCCGGGATTCTAAATTCATTAACAACAAACATATAAGTTTCTAATAAAGATTTAAGTGTCAGTTCTTGCGTTAGCTTCGAAGATTCATAGTATGTAATGTAAGTACCTAATTAGTTGTCTAATTTTGCTTGGTGTATACCTACGGAGTAATTTTGGAGATAGTATATGATGCATTATATAATGCATTTGAATTCCTAGGTTTCACCTGACTCAAAGCGTTTGCTGCTAATATCTAGGCTCGTTCCGACTCATTTATGGGTCATTCCACGTCAACTGTACCAGGCTCGGAACCCGACCCCCTCCGATTTGGCTGAAAATTGGTATACGGGGTCTTTACATCATAATAAGAAACTAATTTGAAGGGTTTTCCCATCTGACGCCCCGTTCGCGAGATATCGACCCCCAAAGATGGGGTGAATTCTAGCGATATTAAAACGCCCGTTTTAGCGATTCTCATT